AAGTACAAATGCGCTTTACACAATTGATGTGTGTATGGATTGCGATAACAGTTGTATGAGCCCCTAATAAAATGTTTATTAAAAAAAAAGAAAGATGAGGATTTCTATTCCTGTATATATTTAGTGTCTTGGAAACCCACAGGGGTAGATCTCCTCTGTCCTATCAGTTTACTATGAATTATAATCAACTTGATGGCAGTGAGTTTGGGAAGGGATCTTTATAACACCATTTGCCCAAGTAGAGTAGAATCCAAAGCAGCAGGTGGCTGGAAGACTGAGGACCCCAGTCAGACGTGCCTACCCGCACGGCTGAGAAGAGGAGCTGCAGACAAAAGGACCATGTCCTTCATGCTTTCTGATCTTGACTTGTAGTACCTGCTGACTTCTCTCATAAACTCCTATACCTGAGCAAACTGCCTGTGAGTTCTGTGTGGTTACTGGTATGGATTATTGAACCCAGCAGAGGAGTGTCCTGGGAGGAAGGGTTGGTGTGAAAACAGGGTAAAGAAAGATGAAGGATTGAGGCATGTCTGACCGCTACCTTGTGGCAATCAGCCACAAGGCTGGTGTGGAATTGGATTCTCCTTCTCCCTGTTGAAGCCAGAGCAGGTCAGGCATATCCTATGCCATTTCCTCAGATATCATGCTTGCTTAAAGTAGCGTGTTGTTGAAAAAAGAGGAAGATTCACAAGAATCTTGGGTCCAAACATAGCAACCACTGTAGGGATGGTGCATGACTGAGCAGTGCTTTGTTCTGTTGCGCATAAGGTCGCTTTTAGTGGGAACTAACTGCATAGCACCTAAACAACAATAACAATAACACAACTGTTTTTAAAAAGCTCCTTGGCCACCTTGAAGGAATAGATCCTGGGCAGACGAGCTCAAGACCATGGTTTCAGGGGACACGATGGTCAACTGACATAACACAGCCTATAAAGACAATGCTCTACAGCCTCAATGCTCTACACCCTGCTTTGGTAAGTAGTGACCGGGGTCTTAAAAGGATGTGAGAGTTCATCTAAGGTCAATTATTGGTCTGACTCTCCCCATCTGGGGGAAGAAAAGCAAAGATAATGAGCTAATTAGTCCAAAGGACTGTTGGATCCCATGAACCCCAGCGTCCCTAAACCACAATAACTGGATGGGGGCTGCCTCCCACTGCTGAGCACCCTGAAAGGAGTCACAATAGAAGGTCCTAGGCAAAGGTGGAAGAAAAATGTAGACAACATGTCAAAATCACACACACACCCACAAAGAGCAAGTTCATTGGTCAGATAGAGACTGATGAAACCCCAAGACTGTGGCCCATAAGACACCCTTCACACTTGAAATTGAACTCACCCTCATGGCTCAACTTTCAGCCAAACAATACACAGGTCAATCTGGGTAATAATATTATTGGAAGCTGCACACTCTTTAGAACAATCAACGATAGGAGACCAAAAGAGCAGCATTTGTTCAGAGAAAAGGCTCAGGGAAATGGTAAACTCAATGAGGAAATAGGACAAATCTCATTACATTGTATGGATTACAAACAATATCATAAAACAAAATGTGTTTCGGTTGTTGAATGGAAACCAAATTACAAGAGAAAACGCAAAACATCAACAAGAAAAAGCGGTTGGTTCTGCCCTGATAACTTGGAAGAGCTCCACTGACCGACGCAGTCCCCGCCGCTGCTGTGAGGTGCCACTGAGTGGGGCCTGTGGCGACAAGTATTTGAACAGAACAGCTTTTAGAAATGGCCCTGCAGACAAGCAGCTCTCTTCTTCCACCCACCACCCTGTATGCTTGGAATACGGGCCCCAACTGTCCTTGTCCTGAGGTGGTAAACTCAATGAGGTGGTAGTCTATGCTATGAGAAGCAAGCAGCGGGTGTCAGGCTGCTTCTCACTTCCTCACCACCCAGTGCTCAGCTCCTGCAGTTGGGGGGGTCACAGTGAAGCTTCTCATTGCCCCCACCACTGGAGCGGAGACCTCGCTTCAGGGAAGAAGCTGACCATAAATCAGACTGCTTCCCATCTTTGTCCAAAGGAAGTGCTCTCATCTGCCATGGAGCGTGAAGGAGTTCAAGCCAAAGAGCACTCTCAAGTACAGTGGGGGTTCTGTCAACAGCAAATGGGAAGAGATCCCTGGATTTAATAAAGAGAAAGCCTGGGCTACAGGCCACCTAGTTTGCTGGAGAGAAATGAAATTAAAATGATGGGAAAAATCATCTTGGGGTCAGAACAAATATCAAATACCGACCACAGAAATTATTTCTTCAAAGAAGCAGCAATACAATTTGATTCATTTGTAGAACCGTTTATGCCCCAGCAAATTGGTGAAACAAAACAGTCAGCCAGCATGGAGTAGAGTTTAACCAATGTGGTCAGTAAAGAAGAGGAAGAGCCCCACTGATTTGTCAGTCACTGCAGGGAGACAGGGGACACCGTCAAGGTTGAATCTCCCTGAGCAATAACCTTAGAGACTTAAGACTTGGGAGAAAATAGACATCATCACTGAAATAACTGTAGCAAATTACTAAAAAATACATAAGCCAAGAACAAAAATGAGCCCTGGAAGGGAAGAGGGTATGGAAGTCAAGGCCCTAGAGTAATCACATTATTTAAATGCTTAGTGTCCAACCAAAGGTACAAACATGCAAAGAAACAGAAACCATATGTCATGAAAGAGGCAGACAACAGAAGCTTCCTGTGACGACAGCCAGATATTGGATCTGACAGCAAGATTTCCAGAGAAAGAACACTAATAAGCATACCAACCGCATATAATGAAAATACTAGGAAGCAAGAAGAGAGACAGAGAACAGAGCAGAAGAATGGTTGAAATTTTATTTAAAACAATAACCTACACATCCAAGAAATTCAACA